CACACAGGACAGAATGATTGGCGACCGCCGTGGGCCCAATTCGATAGAGGGACGTGTGCGGGGTGTCTCTCACGAGTTGCCCCAAGGCTGCTTGCTTGCCCTCTACCATGTGAAGCCGGGCTTCGCCTTATGCGGCTCCTCGACAGACAGGTCTGACTACTACCACCAAATCCAGGTGACTGCCAGCCGCTCCGCCTCGAACGTTGTGGGCCCCTCCTTCAAGCTTTCTGAACTGAGCCACCTATGTGCCCACACCCGGCCCAGTACTTGCATCGTGGGATTGAGGCTTTGGGCTCAGAAAGGAACCGGATTTTGGGGAGGTTTGGCAGCCAGGCTTTTGACCACAGGGGCCCGGACCCCACTGTCTGTGGCTCCTTCCGCTCGCTCTTTCAGGGCGATCATGGAGGAGTCGAGTTTGCTACGCAAGCCCATGAGCAGTTGTTGTGTGGACGTGGGCTGCTTGCCCGCGATCACCGCTTGGTGGCGGGGCGGCCCCCTCCTCTTGGACTTCACGCCGAAGCTCTAGTCATCGATGACTATTTCTGTGTGTCTCAGACTGCCGCCGCCCCCCTTCAAACCCTGGGCCCTAAGGACCTTTCTCAAGCGCTTCGGGCCACCCAGGCCTCCACCTGCATAGGCCAGGCTAAGGCTGCTTATGCTAGTGCAGAGCTTGCTGGTTCAGACCACAAGGACAACTGGGGCTCCCTGAGCTTCACTGTCGCCGGTGCCGAGGTGAGGTCGGACCTCGACTTTGTTGCTAAGGGGGCGGTTTTCGTTGGAGCTCCGGCCGAAAAGAGGCTTGCCCTCGGGTACATTTCGTTGAAAGTCGCCGCTCTCCCTGCTGTTTCCGAGGAGTTGGTTTCTTCAGCTTTGGGCGGCTGGGTTTCCTATATCCAGTTCAGGCGGCCCTTTTCCTGTATCCTGGACTCCCTCTTCTCCCTTGCCTCAAAGGAAGCAGCGCCTGACGGGAGCCTTCTCCGAGCCCTCCCCCGAAGAGCTGCCTGTGAGCTGTCCCTGCTGGCCGCCTGTGCACCCATCATTGCCAGTAACATCGCCGTGCCCTACGATGAGCATATATACTGCACCGATGCCTCCCTTCGTCGAGGTGCTGCGTGCCGGGCAAAGGTCGGCGAACCCCTGTCTGAGGCTGTCTGGCAAGGTGCTCAGAACTCCGTTAAAGGCGAAGTTTCAGGAGGCGGGTCCTGGAAAGATTCGCCAGCCGATGCCCAGCCCGAGGCCCCCCTCACGCGAGACCGGCCCCTCGGTATGGACTACGACTTCGTTGAGCTGCTCTCTCCCTCCGACGGTGTCTCTCGAGCTGCTGTTTCTTTGGGTTTGCGGCCTGGCCCTCTCGTCTCCCTTGCCTCCAGTGCCGAGTTCGACTTGGGCCGGCCCTGGGTCCTTGACTGGCTCCTTTACCTGGTCTCCTGCGGCCGGCTTCGCAGCCTTCTCGTGCGTTTCCCAGGTGGCACCTTCAGCAGAGCCTACAGACCTCAAGTGAGGAGTTCGCAAAGGCCTGAGGGTTTGAATCAGGCCTGTGCTCGGACCCGTCGTGAGAACATGCTTGCCTCGAGGGCTCTTCTGCTGATTGACTTCTGCAGGCGCCATGGGGTCCCGGCTTTGCTGTGCAGCCCTCGTGGCTCCCTTGTGTTTTCCCTGCCGGTGTTCAGAGCTTTTGTGGGCCGACCGGGCTCGCTCTTTTACGCCCACGGGGCCGAGCTACTCGCCGAGGCCGGCCGAAACCTCTCGTGTGTTGGCTGCTGGCTCCAGCCGCTCCCCCCTGGACTTGTGCAGAGCACCGACCTCGAGCAGCGCCTTGCCCTCCTCTTTAAGTGCAGCCCCCTGTGCCAGGCCTTGAGTCGGTCCTTGTCAACGACCTCCTTCAGACCTCGCGTTGGGAGGTGCTCTCCGCCTGGAAATGGTCCGCAAAGAGGCGCATCAATGCCCTTGAGAGTGATGCCACCCTCGCCCTTTACAAGAGGATTGCGCTTTCGGGTGGTGACCGGCGCCTTGCTGTCGTTACCGGGTTACCGACTCTTCTGTTGTGCGGGGCTCCCACACGAAGAGGAAATCGTCTGCAAAGCTTATCCGGCAGCCCCTTCGCCAGGCGAGCAGCACCATCATTGCCGGAGGCTTGTACCCTTGGGTTATGTTTGGCCCCACTCGCCTTAACCCCTCCGACGACCCAACCAGGGAAGTCGAGCTCCGGGCCCCGACAGGACCTCAGATATCTGCTCAGCTCTCCCGCCAGGAGCTTCGTGACCTTAGCAGAAGGCAAGGCTTCCCCAAGCCTCGGGCCAACTGGGTTCGACTTGCCCTTCTTTTGCACTCTGCCGCTTTTGGCAGCTCCGCGGGCCTCACCTCGGCTCTTCGTGCCTTTCCCACCGAGTCACGGTACGCTGCCGGGGCCTGTGTTTCTCCGTCAAAACCTCGGTGCCAGATGGATTTCAATCAAACTCTGGGCTTTCCTGGTGAGGGTCCTGCCCTGGCTTTGGGGTGGGCCCTTTTTCTCCTCCTCTTGCTACCGGCTTCGGGGACGCTCTCCCCCCGAAATGCCGATGACCTTCGTCGCCTTGACCGCCGCCTCCGTCCCCTTCCTCGTGGGCGTCCTGTCCTGTCTGGTACGTCGTCTAGGAGGGCTGCTCTGCTTAGTGCCTTTGCGCAATGGCTCCGCGAGACTTCTGGCTGTGTCCTGGACCAAGTGCTGGACGCTCGGCGCTTCGACACCGAGCGCTTCGTGGAATGGCTGATCCTGTACGGCCAAGACCTTTACGGAAGTGGCCGCCCCTACTGGCATTTTTCCGAGACGATAAACGCCTTGACAGCGAGGAAGCCAGTGTTACGACGCGCCTGCCAGGGCGCCTGGGACCTAGCCTTTACATGGTTATCGGAAGAGCCATCGACGCATCACGTCGCGCTCCCCGCCATCCTTTTGCTGGCGATCCTGGCCTCTTGTTTGGCTTGGGGCTGGCTTGCTGAAGGAGCCCTCTTCGCTCTTTCCTGGGGCGCTCTGCTACGCGTTTCAGAAGCAACCGCTGCTACTCGACGTCACCTCGTCTTCCCCGCGGACGCGCTGTTCATGCAGACCTATATTCTTATAACCATCGACCAGCCGAAGACGAGAGGACGAGCTGCGAAACACCAGAGCTCGAAACTGGAACAGGCCGACCTCGTCGAGCTCGTCTCCCTTGCCTTCAGTGACTACAACAAGGCCACCCGCCTCTGGCCCTTCGCAAACCAAACCTTGCGGCGCAGGCTGGACTACGTTTTGGAGAGGCTCGGGATCCCAAAGTCGACTGAGCATCTTCGCTCAGTCGACTTGGGGTCTTTCAGGCCTGGCGGCGCCACCTTTTTACTGCAGGCGACAGAGGACTCAGAGTTGGTACGTCGACGAGGCCGCTGGGCGAGTCATAAGGTTATGGAAATCTACTTACAAGAGGTGGCCTCGTCCACCTTTGTGCTGATTTGCCACCGGCCGCGCGCGCGAAGACTCTGGAGCTCGCGCGCCTCTTCCCTGGCATGCTGGCTCAGGCAGCGCGGTGGCGGCGAAGCAATATTCCCAGCAGGAGCTGGTTTTACCTTTGGCCATAGGCTGTTCCGTGTGCTGCAAGGCTGGGTACAATGGGTCGATGCAGTTCCGGCCGTTTTCGTTCTCAGCTTTTGCGGCGAAGACCTTCCGCCGGGGCAGAAAGCACACGGACCATCGGCAGGCGGTGGAAGGAAAAAAGGAGCTGCGGAGCTTCTGATCAAGAGATTGTTTGAAGCCGGTGAAAATAATTGTCCGCGATCGGTTCTAACCAGCTGAACTCACGCCCTACCAGTCTGCTGCGCCTTAAGTAAACTTCATTGTGCTCGGGATTCGAACCCGTAGTTTTTGGGGGCTGCGTGGTGTAAGATTTACTTGAACGAGCTTGTCCGAGCTTATGCTTCGTGCCGCTCGCAACCAGGGCTCGTTCTGGTGACTCAAAAGATGTGCACTGTACATGAGTGACTTTATCCCGCGGTTTACGAAAGCGAGCAACATGAACATGCACCGCATTCTGAAGATCGGGTGTGAGCTAGGCTTTTGTGAGTCTCAAGTCAAGACCCCATGATATGTGCCTATACCAAGGCACCTACGACAAACCCTTCGCCAGCGCTTGCGGGAAAAGTTTCATTTGATGAAACTCGAAAGCTACATTTCATGCACATAGGTCACGCAAACGCAAACTTGGCGTGCGCCATCGTTCCGCCCACCTACGGTGCTGCTCCACCTGTCGGTGAAAGGCAACTCGTGCCTCACACACGGGCTAACATAAATTGGTGCTGGAGCCAAGCTAATGTTTCAAATGTTTTGGTTTTGAGTTTTCGAGTTTTGAGTTGATTTGGTGAAATGTCAAGGCCAATTTAGGCTTCGAGGTGGTCACCAACGTTGAATGAATAGGTTTTTGGATGACACTGGCGATGATTGTGAAGCACCGGCAGCGGAAGCTGCGGCTCACAATGTGTACGAGTCTGCGAGGTCTGCGTGTGTTGGCCTTGTGACGAAAGGGCTATGTTCAGTGTTCAACCAATCATGTTGGAGAAGGCTTCACTAAGGGGGCCTCAGCATTTTTAGCCCAGGGAGTCCCCGAACTGTTCCGTATCCAAAGTTGTCAAAACAAAGACGAAGTCCAAAACCCTTACTGGTGACACTGATCTCTTGAGCTCTCACGGAAAGTTTAAATTCAATCGTTTGGAAGGTGTCGGTGGTTTCGCCAGCGTTCGGCTCTTTCTGAATCCATTGAGCATATACTGCATATACAAGACATGATTATACGATGCGACATGTGCATTCTTATGTTTCAAGCTTGTTCATGTCGAGTGCAATCCGCGAAGAAAGTGCAAGGCAACACGGTTCAACGTCACAGTGCTGAGTGCTGAAAGGTGCTGTGCGCACGTTATAGCTTGTTGCGGTACGAAGGCCCGATGCAAGACAACCGACAAACACATGCAACCAGCAAAGTTCATGCCGTGCAGCCATGGATGATTCGAAGGCTCGCCGCTGGACATTTTGTAGAGCATGTGCTGGTGTATGACCGTGGTCCACCGGAGGCAAAAGTGTTGGAAGAAGTTCAGCGCTTGAAGGTGTGTTTGCGAGAGTCAGTGGGCCACACCGATTTTCATGAATCGCAGGGGCTTTTGCTGGATGGAAGTGCATCGAAAGAGACGGAGCGGAACCTGGAAGTTTGCTGGACCTGGGGGGGGCAGGCAGGCGGCTTTCAGTTCAGTGTCGCTTTCCAGGTAATATCGGCATTGGACCAGCTCCAAAAGCTCGGAAGCTCCTTGCCTTTTTGTTACCTTTTGTCCTTGTCCACACAGAGCTCATGCCGTGCGCAAGTGCCATGCACGCAAAGTCCCGCAGTGATTTAGCTACCGCATCGATCTCAGGTTTGTCGACAAGAATCCTGGGTGAAACAATGGTGGGCGCGGCACGCAGACGTCAGTGTGACTTTTCGGCTCGTGATGTCCCGTAGAGCTCCACGCATGTGACAGACAGGCCGAGCTGTCCACGACGTGGGGCGGGATGCTGTGGATCCCGAGATCCGAAAAAGGGCTCGAAACCTCGAGGCCCTTTGGAGGCTGGGACTCGGCTCGCGGACAGCAAGGAAGGGACACCGTCTCACCGTCTCCTGGCAGAAACGAATACAAGAAGCGGAAGTCAACAACGGGCATCGGAGACGAGCTGCTGGTCTCTGAGCATGGAGGATTCCTCCTCTGCCTCGCATTCTCGCGGCGGTCGCATGCGGTCGCACATGAGGCTCCTGAAGCGGCGCTTGAGCTCCGATGTCTCGGAGGCGTGTCCGAGAACACGTCGCTCGTGGCGACACTGTGCAAGCTCCGAAAAGGCACAGACGGCCCTTTCACAAGAGCCAGCGGCCGACGACAACGCAGGCCCAGGCATGGCACCCCGAGGGCAGGCGGCAGGGCAGTTCGCCGAGCCGCCTTTCAGGCTGCCAAGGACCGGGACCATCTCCAGCCGATCCACCGGAGGATGGCGGGAAAAGGCATGTTTCCTGTCCTTTTCGGCCGTGTGCAGGCAAGCCGCCTCGACAGGGTATCACACTCAGCACTTGTGATGGAGAGTGAACCGGTGACGCATTCGAGTGTGAGGCAAGCTCGACATTGTCTTCATCCTCCCAGGCAGCATCTTAACGGCCTCGGATGGCTTTTTCTCCTTGAAAATGACAGGCGGCAGACAAGAAAGACGATGCCTACCGGGAAAAGGCTGCGCTGTGGCCATAATGGCCCTCTGTGCTCGCTGTCTTTATCTAAACGCAGGTCCGGGCGAAGCTGATCGATGCTTTGGGCAAGCAGGAAGAGATCGAAGCCAAGGGCGGTTTGGGACCCAGAGAGCCTGAGGCTCGGGCTCTCAGCTGCCCTCTGCTGCTCCAAGGCGAGTCCCAAAAGACTTCGACGATGCGGGAGCTGGGAGAGCCGTAACTGCCGTAACTGCGGAAAAGTCTTCGCGAGTGACTCTAGGACCCGATCAAGCTCGCTGAAGAAATCGAGGAGGCGAGGCCTCGTCTTCGAACTCCGGGATGGAGTGTTGCTCTGTTGCTCCGGCCGGACAGGAGCTCCACAAGGTCTGGCCCAACAAGAAAGATGTCCGGAACCGAGCATCAACCGAAAAGCCGTCATTCTCGGAGCCGCCATTACCGCCATGCCCTGAGGCCTACATGAACCAGGCCCGGCCGGAGACTAAGCACTAACCGCTTCAGGCGGGTGAGTCCCGTCTCGGACGTCCGATCATGCAATCATAGCATGGGATGTATACTCCAAAATTCACACCGAGGTCCATACTCTTCAATCTCAAGGACACCAAGAATGCCACCTTCAGGCGCATGTCGTTGGAGCACCGCTTTGTCACGTTCCCGCTGCTCAGGTTCAAAGTTGTCGTTGGCTTCTTCCAGCCGGACCAGCTGCCCAAGCTGACGGCCGAGGACATGGTACGCAGCCCAGTCTTGGGGGCCGTCAAGATCCTTAGGCGAGGGTTATGTGAGCCCTTAGGCCAGCGACGAAAAGAATGCTGAGCGAGCCAAGCAGAGGCGAAAAGCACTGATCGGCCGCACGTGTTCTTTTTGGCTTGGAAATGGCGTCACTGTACCATCTCCCACAGGCAGTATGCTATGGAAGCGCTGGACCAGGGTTGGGCGTTGAAGAACGGGCAGTGACTTGATTGCATTGTGCAGAATCTGTTGAATACTTCTCTCTTGAATTGGCGGATTCGGTACACTGTGCGTTTGCTCTCAGGCAGCTGACCACCGGAATGTTCACCTGTGGCAAATGCAAGGCCTGCCCCCGATGTCGGGCGACGGCCCGCTCCAATGCATCATTGGACGCGTTCTAAACTTGCGAGTCACCGGGTCGTCACATGAAATGTCTCATTCGGGATACAGACTGCTGCAGTGTCGCTTGTCTTGGCAGTCCTCTCGTTGGTGACAGGGCCAGGCCGCCCCAGCCCTGAGACAATCCTAGACTGAGCGAGCGGAGTCACAGGCTTTCTCACTTTGCGGGGAATCGGAAGCTCGTCCTTTTCCACGGGCGAGATCAGGGCAGCACAAACTTGTCACGGCGATCATCAAGGTCCTATGGTCAGGTACCATGTGACCCAAAAAAGTGACGGCTGTTCTGCTCGAGAGTTTGTGGGATCGGGAGGGGGAGAGGGGAGGGGAAGTCGAAAAAACCGATGGCTGGGCTTGAAACCCGACAGCATGGAAAGCGATCGGACAGGTTTGCGAAGTGACGCTACCTTGATTGGGGGGATTTGGTTACTGCTGCGTTCCAAGGATTCTCGGCAGCTAGAAAAGTTGATGTCGATGATGTAACCCCTGCAGGGCAACAAGACCACTTACTTCCAAATGCAGACGAGGCCCGATGCTTGCCTAGGCTGTAGCAAGGAGCTCTTTTTTTGTGCCTTGATTAATCGCTTAGGTCATCCGATGAGCCCATGACAACCTTTGTCACATGTGCTGCACCCAGTCAGTGAAGAGTCCATTCCAGTGGCGAATTGCTCTGCAGCATTTGACATGTTCTTGCTCGCCTTTTGAGGTTTGACCTGCGGAAATCGTTGGAAATTCTGCTGAGCCCAGCATAGTCCTGCTTGCTTGCCTGCCTGCCTACCTGCCTGCCTGCCTGCCTGCCCGAGACGAGTGTACATAGAACTACGCTTGCAACCTGGGATGCTGTGGAGGAAGCGTGCAAACAGGCCTCGCATGTACGCGCACAGTGCTTTGCGGTCCTGCGTGCTTCAGGCGAAGGGTTCAGGGCAGAAGCCGCGCCACGCAACCGCTTGCGGCCGCTGGCGGCTCACAGCGCTGCGAGCGCCGGGGGCCCGCCCAGTCTGCGCCATGGGAGCATCCTGCAACTTGCCTGGACCATCTTGTGACCATCTTGTGTGACCCTGATGGTCCCTGTGGAGCATCGAGGCAATGCTGGCTGCTGTCACATGCTTAGCGGAAGGATTCGAGACGTTCTGGGCTTTGGGAGTGCATGCTGAGGCCAGGATGCAGACGGTAGGATCGTGGCTGAGAGAGATTCGGCCTGCAGCCTAGAGTTCCGCTGCATGACCTCTGAGAGGTGGGAAAAAACCCCATGTTTGAGGCTCTGAAGGATGTGGGAATGCCACTTTCGTTGGGATTTCCCCACGAGAAGCCAGCTGGTGAAGAGCGGTCCGGAACCCTGGTGGAGGCGAAGGAAGCCGTCACCAAGCCCAAGAGACTTTGCAGAGGCCAACACATGTCTACGATCATGGTGCCGCCTATACTGGTAGCTGGTTGGGAGAGCAGCGAGAAGGCTATGGCGTCCAGGCCAGTATGGCCAGTGCAGGGTGGCACAGCGGTGTGGCGGCACTTGGGTGCGCTGCCAGGTGTGGCCAGACGGAGCTCGTTACGAAGGAGCGGTGCTGAGCGTTGCCGTTGGCTTTTTTAACTCTTCTTGCCACGCTCAAAGCTGGGCTGTGAGGGCAGTGGAAGGCCGACAAGGCACACGGCTGGGGCCGGCGCGGGCCCCAAGTGACTGCGTGACTCTGCACGTTGTGTTCTCGTGGGGGGCAGAGGTTCGTTCATGCGGACGGCGACGTTTACGAAGGGGAGTGGTTTGGGGACACCGCCCACGGGCTGGAACCTCGGCTTGCAGCGGGCACAGAGCGCAGCGGGCCGTGGTTGCGAGGCAGGGGACCTACAGCCATGCAGATGGGCCTCCGACCCAGAGACGTCCGGAAACTCCGCGTCTTCATGATTTCTTGACAGCACCGGGCTTTGAATGGGCTTTGCCATGATCTTTGCGGGTAAGGCGGGTAAGGCGGGTAGGGCGGGTGGTTGGGAGATCGCCTGATGCCCGCCGCAACCGCGGCTGCCTCAGCTTCAGGTCCAAGTACGAGGGGCAGTGGGAGTACGACCGCCAGCACGGGCATGGTGTGGACGGGCCGCCCCGAGTCATCGCGCATGCCCTGTCATGTTCGCATTCTCCCACAGCGAGGAGCACTGGGTAGATGGCACTTGCCTCAGCTGTTGAGGAGGAGTGCAGACTGTTTTCTTCCGGCCATGTCGCAAATGCAGGTGCGCGCTACGAGGGCACGTGATGCACCCAGGGACGGTGGCAACAGAAAGCGTCAACACTGATGTTTAACGGGTGGTTGGCCGAGGTATCAGGCCGGGAAGAAGCATGGCAAAGGGTAGTTCTGGACTCAGCCTCCGCCCAAGACGACGTGTTTGACAGTTGTTGCTCCTGGTCCCAGTTTCACCTGGGCTGATGGCTCTTCCTACGATGGTGAGGTACGGGGGCGGGCCGGGGCTGGCCCTGTCGTTTGCTACATCGCCCATGGGCCTTTGCTTTAGGCCAGTTTAGGCCTCCGTCGCGCCAGTTTTTCAACAACGACATCCACGGCTCTGGTATTTACTCCTGGGGCGATGGGCGGAAGTACGAGGGTCAATGGGAAGGACCGCCTCCAAACCGCAGCTGCAAGCTTTGGCGATCACACCACGTGCTCAAGGAAATCGGATGCATGGCAACGGCAAGTTCAGCTGGTCTTGGGCTGACAGCAGCGCTGCACCGCTGTTCCTCACCCTCGTTGTGTCAAACTCCAAGGCCGGATGGACGGCACTACGAAGGAGAGTACATTCATGACATCAAGGTCGCATCTGCATGTCTTGCACTGCTGCACTACTCACTACTCGTCACTACTCACCTCTCGCAGCATGGCTATGGGATCTTCAAATGGCCTGATGGCAGAGAGCCCGGCCCACAGCCAGAGGCAGCACTTGGCTCACTTGGAGGGAGTCGTACATGGTTAGAACAAGCAGTGCAGCAGAGCAGCAGAGCAGAGGTACGACGGTCAGTGGCGGAATGGGAAGCAACACGGCATTGGGTGGCAATGCGCTGAGAGGATCTCCGAGGCTCTCTTTGTGCTATGGCCCGCCTTCCCACTTGGTGTCCCTTAGGTCCTCCGCGCCGAAGCAGGAGAAGCGCAATGGCGAATGGATGGACGGAAAACGAATAAGGTGTGGGGGAGGGGGGGGCTCGGGTGTGGCGCTTTGCATTTATCGCTGGGCCTTCTGCACGGCCAGGTGGATTGGTGAAGAGAAGCCGAAGACTTAGACAAAAAGCGAGAGGCGCAGGCGGCGCATAGGCGGCGCCTCGGCGCTCCGAGCGACCCTGCCTTCTTCAGGTCCCTCGAGGCGACCTGAAGGGTCCCGCCCGGGACGCAGTCGGAGCTTCAAAGCGGGGGATCTCATTCAGAAAGCCGCTTTAGACTCTCTTTAGACTCGCGTGAGACTCTTTTTGACTTGAGTCAACTCCTAAAGTTCGCAGGGTTGGAAAGGCTGCAGCAGAATGAATTCCCCTTCTCTCCCACATGGGAGTGTCTCACAACATTAGTGCTCTGTTAGGCAACGACCTACTCGAACCGCCCAAATGCCTTGTCAGAGCAAGACGCGAGAAGAGATCCGCAAGGCAAGGAAAGGCAGAGGCGTGAGGCTGAAAAGTCTCAGAGACCTCACCAGCTGGGCTCAAGTCAGTTACGGCGCCGGGCTCAAGTCGCCCGTCGCGCTCGGCCGTCTTGGCGATGCGTGAGAGACGGCGACACGCGGATGAAGAAGCTGGGCTCGGGGCTGAGAGCGCCGCAGGAGCGAAGCGCCCGGGGCGGCGACTTTTTTTTTCCGAGGCCTCCTTCTCAGCCTTCCGCTGCTTGTTCGAGCTGGAGCCGGGGCCCGGGCCCCGGCGGGGAGGCGGGGAGGAGCACTTGTGTTTTGCGCTTTCGTCAAGGCGGGCTTCCTTGGCTCCATTCGTGCCCGGGGCCCGGCCCAAAACACCCAACACCCTCCTTTTCCTTTCTGCGAGGGCGGAGGGCAGAGAACGAAGGGCGAAGGGCGAGCCTTAAGGCGCTGGAGATCGATCCCCCGAGCTGCCGACTCCAGCCGCTGGCTCAGCTGGTCGGCGAGCTCTGGTGGCCTGTTGTTTTTTCGTAGAGTTTGGCTTGCTTTCGGACCAACCCTGCCAGAGTGATCTACAGACGTGAAGCCGACATCGACTGAAATATGGGGTTGTTGCCTTGGCCCTGCGATGCACCATGCCCGAACATAGACGGATTAACCCATGTGCAACAAGAGCTGTAGATGTACAGTGCGTTCAGTCCATGAAGCAGGTGCACGGAGGCACAGTAAGTAGTGGTGAATGTGAGGCATGCATCGTGGTGTTTCGGTTCAAGGTGACGCTGTTCGCAGGGAGTTTTTGGATTTCCTGTCGGAGGGCTTGAAGACTGATGTTTGGGGTTTGCATTGCCCATTTTGCTGCCAGGGTGCTTCTCTGTCTCAGCTTCTTCTCGCTTTCATGCTTGGATGTGCCGTGGCTGTTGGGCCATGCCTTGGACTTCTTTCATTACTCTTCCTCCCTTCCTGCAGGGCGCACTCCCTTCGCTACAAGTAGGTCAGGCCTGGTCATCCTGGGCACGCCTGCCTCTGACCAGGAGGCGATCGCACAATTGTCTTGCGAGCTTGAAAGGCTCCACATTCAGTCCCGGCAATCTGCTGCTTCCGCGTCAGCTCCTCCTTCATTTTTTCCTGCACGAGGCGCCGAAAGCCAGGAAGAGGTCTCCTATGTCCCCCGAAAGTCGCGCGGGCTATTGAGGGAGTTCAGCTGACTACCACGTGGTGGTGTCAGTGGGCGCGGTGGTGACCACCTCGATGCAAACCCAGCCGGTACTGCCGGCAACAGTAGCGAAACCATCTTCGTTTACGACCTTGCCACTCTGGATTTTGGGCTGGAGGTCGAGATTCCTGGGGCAGCTCACGGACATCACCGCGGCCGAGCGCTTTGGCCACGGGAACAAGCTGAAGCAGTCAGACGTGTGCAAGTTCTACGTCCAGTATGCAGTGCAAGCGCGCAAGGCTCTGCCCAGGAAGCTACAGGCACGGAGAAATCAGCGAACTTCGTCGCAAAATGCCCAAAGCCTGGGAACGAGGTGACGCAAGCTTTGCTTTGCTTAACAATCCCGTGTTTCCGTGTTGGCCGCCACTCACAATCTTGAGTGCGGTCCTGGCGAACCAGATCCTGGGTGTGAAGGCCCAACTGAGAGAAGACGAGCTGATCGAGTGGCCATGTTGTTGGGGCTGCTTGCCTGGATCATCACGCTGTGGCTTTTCATGAGCCGGCTGGTGTGCTTTTTACACGAACTCCGACGGGGGGCCACGACGGACGAGGGAGTGAAGAGGATAGCGGAAAACAGCAAGCGAAATCAGGAAAACAAGATCGGAAACCAAGGAGGGCGATGTCGGAAAACAGCCGGACAGAATCACACAGCCAGAATCAGAAAACAGCACAGACGAAATCAGAAAACACAACAGAATCGGAAAACAAGAATCTGAAAGCCAAAACCGAGGGGTGAAATGACCGCGGCCTGCCTTCACCTCTCGGTTTGTGGCCAAAACTGAGAGGTGAAAGGAGTGTGGCCTTCCTTCACCTCTCGGACCGCGGCCTTCCTTCACCTCTTGGGTTGTGGCCAAAACCGAGGGGATGAAACGAGCGCAGTCTTCCTTCACCTCCAGGTTTGTGCAAAGCCGATGAGTGAAAGGACCGCGGCCTTCTTTCGCTAATGGGTTCGGCTTGTGGCCAAAACAGAGGGGTTTAAGGACCGCGGCCTTCCTTCACCTCTCCGTTTGTGGCCAAAACAGAGGGGTGAAAAGAGCGCGGCCTTCCTTCACTTCTCGGTTTGTGGCCAAAACAGAGGGGATGAAACGAGCGCGGCCTTCCTTCACCTCTCCGTTTGTGGCCAAAACAGAGGTGAAAAGAGCGCAGTTTTGCCCACAAACCGAGAAATGAAGGAAGGCCCCGCTCGTTTCATCCCCTCGGTTTTGGCAACAAACCAAGAGGTGAAGGAAGGCCGCGCTCCTTTCATCCCCTTTGTTTTGGCCGAAGGAAGACAGAGGGGTGAAAGGACCGCGGCCTTCCTTCACCTCTCGGTTTGTGGGCAAAACCGAGGGGTGAAAGGAGCGTGGCCTTCCTTCACCTCTCGGTTTGTGGCCAAAACCGAGGGGATGAAACGAGCNNTTCCTTCACCTCCAGGTTTGTGCAAAACCGATGATAACCGTGGATGGGCCAGACGTGGCCAGACAGATGCCTATCTGCCGCCATTGCCGCCAGCGTCACATCACCCATGACCTTTGAGCTCGCGAAGGAGCCGTCGGCACCGTTGGTCCGTCGGAGCGGGAGCGGTGTGAGAGGGGGGTGCGATTAATCACGGTAGCTTCCTTAACTTAGTCCTTAGCTACCCAACCCGAAGGCAGGGGGCAACTGCAGCAGCCCTTGTTGGCTTGGAAAAGTGTGGCGTGAGCCCGGTAGGTGGTCCGTCGTCCAAAACCCGGTTTTAGCTTTCGCAGATGCGTTTGTTTCTGGTCTGATCAATGATCGCCCGGACCCGGGCTGACTGCTTGGCGCTGCTTTATGCTCCTGCCACTATTTGTGATCACTGCATCGCATCACCGTTTTGGTCACGTGCAGTTTGATCAAGTTGTGGGATGGCCTTTCGTTGCTGTTTGTTCTCAGTTTCTTCTTAGGATTTGCACACCAGTACTGAGTATCGTATCTCGTGCTATTCGTGCATATCATGCTGCTGTTTAGCAATGCTGCTCAGCAGTGCAGTGTTTCTTTGCGCATGTGTAGGAGCCTGTAGTTGCTGTTTGCTCTTTCCGCAACCCATGACGGCATGGGAGTGTCATGAGCTTGGAGGTGCATTAGCGTGATGCTCTGCTACGTGGCTAATTGACACGGTTGTATTAATTACAAAACACTGACACCACGTCCTCAGCAACAACACGACGTGCTGCTTGTTCAGAAGCCTTCAACTCCTGCTACGTTCGTACAAACAAAGCGCAAATACGCAGGCACACTTTCCAGCAGCACGGAATCTGAATTACGACCCTCCCTGTGCTCGCGCAGGTAATCCTCAGCCAGAAAAAGCCTCACAGTCGCCAGTCTCCTCGCGTCGATGTGCGGCAATGCTGGGTTATCGGCGTACAGATAGTTACTTGTGTACATATGAATATATATATATA